CTTCGTTTTTCTTTGGGCAGTCTCTAGAAATATGTCCTTCTTTGTTACATCTGAAACATACCTTCTTGTTGAATGTGCACTCGTTGGCGTAATGGCCAGACTTTCCACACTTGAAACATATCACATCTTCGCCACATTTTCCTAAGTGTTTCTTCTTGCACTTATCACACCATCTTGCTTTGCCTCTTCCTCCTCCTCCAAACTTCGAGAATTTACTCTCTTTGTTGGGCCTTGAAGATCGTTCAAACTTCCTCTTTTCTCCTGTCTTATCTTTTTCTATACCCTTTTCTCTTATTTGGGTCTCTATATTCTTAGCTGCTCTAACGGCTGTTTTCAAAGTAGTTGCCATTTTGACCGTTAGGCCAAAGTCTGTGGGCAGACCGTTAGCGAACCTATCTATATTGGAGACTTCAGTAGGCACCAAGTAGGGAAATAGCTTCATCCTCTCAGTGAATGCGGTGGCATACTCATCAACACTCATCTTCCCTTTCTTCAGGTTCTGAAACTCGTTGTTTAGGTCTATCAGATTTATCTCTGAGCAGTACTGCATTTTTAACTGCTCTGTGAATGCTTCCCAAGACATTCGTATGGATTCTCCTCGTGGTATTGTATCTGCCAGCAACTTCCACCAACTTAACACTCCGGTCTTTAGTTGTCTGACTGCAAAGACGGTCTTTTGCTTATCGCTGCAGTGGCAGCTCTCAAATACCATCTCCATCTCGGAGATCCAGTCCATAATCTGCACTAGTTTTGGGCTTCCAGAGAGACTCGTCGGTTTTGCACCCAAGAAATTCTTATACATCCGCCTATCCTTGTCATTTCCCTTCTCCGGGCCAATCCTCCTTGCCCCTTGGGTTCCAACTTGACTCACAGTGCGGCTATAATTTCCTTCCTCTGATTGTCCAGCGATCAACTCAGGTTGCACAATGGGCACCGTAGGTTCATCCCTATTTTCGTGCAACATCTGCCTCATCTCTTCTCTTTGCTCAGCCAGCATAGCCTGAATCATGACTTGTACTCCAGCCATTGTGATTGGCTCAGGAGTGGCTACTACAACAGGTATTTGCTCAATCACTGGTGGTTGAGGCAGTTGATTTCTATTTCCATTCACGTTTCCACTTCGGGTTCTTGCCATTTCGTTCTATACACCAAATCAGACGTTCGGTGCGAAACGACGAGAATTAAGATAGGAAATATTTTATTTACGATCGACGTGTAAATCTCCCTATTACTCCGAAAAGTTACATGCCAGTTCTAATACCGTAATTAAACGTTTAGAAGTCTGAACACATAAAGTTTCCAGATCCGGTCGGCAACAGACCATAGATCCGATCATATAATGCATATCATAAATCATTTAGCACATAAAAGCATGTTAGGCATTTTCCTAAATAAACTAGTGCTTGTGTCTATTCAAGTGTATCACCTAAATTTATTAGACACACTCCTCACGATCATCACTTAGCATTCTAAGTTTAAGTCTAGAAATAAATCCATATTCCTAGTTCGCTTAAACTAATGCTCTGATACCAACTGTGACATCCCCATTTTCACGGCCAGAAAAGACCGATTTTGTTTATGCTATATAAAAATCAGAGTACCTCTTTTAATAAAAATGTTGCGGAATTTGTTCCCAGAAAAACATGATAAATACGTTATCAAAGCATTTCCGAAGAAATGTATTTTTATCTATTTTAAAACATTTGGGATGTCATCGTCAATACAAAAACATAAGTATAAACAGAACTTACATTCACTTACAATAGTGATCTACATCTCTTTTAAATCCCTCAGTGTAAAGTAACTTCATATCGACACCTGTGATACAAATAAGCTTGAGTGGGTCAGGTTGGGAAACCTGGTGAGTACATAGGGTTTTCAACCCACAATAATATAATTATTATGTTAAACATCAAACAATCAACCCAATTACCCATCCACATTATCTTCTTTACTTTTAAGGATCTACCCTAAGATTTAGCTATTCCTCGTTCATTCATTCCTAAGGAGCATCCTAAGGAATCGGAACTAAGTCTGCATAGTCGCCAGGGTTTATCTCATTTATTGACAGTATCATTTTCGAGAGTCCACTCGTAATACATGTCAATGGGTTTTTAGAGTACACCGGGTGAACACATCGTTCACAACACCTACAGGTTGCGAGCCTGCTAGTGTTCCACTAGACTGTCTAGAATAGTCCGTGGTTGTCATCCATACTCTGATAGATGACGGGGCCACCGCTTGGGTCATCGTTTGGCTCATCGTTTGGCTCATCGTTTTGGCTCATCGCTTAGGTCATCGCTTCACACCATATTTTATCACTCATATATCACCGCTTATCATTCATCTCATCTTTCATCGCTCATTATTTATCTCATCTATCATCGCTCATCATTTATCTCACCTCTAATCTACCCATGTTTTACCCAACACATTTTGTAGATATAAAATACATATACAGTTTAGATCATTTAAAACATGTATAAAACGTTTCATCCAGCATAGACAGCAAGTATTCAGACAGTATACACACATAGCACGTAATTTATATAAAATACTTCATATCTATGTGTAAGATGAAAGTAACTATGCACTCACTTGTTAAGGTGGTGATTCCAAATTCGGGCAGCGCTTCGTTTCTAACGATTCTATTTTCCTTCGACGAAACCTAACATTATTATCGCTAAGTTTTAGTCTAATCTTTATTGCGACTAATTATTAGTCTAGATTCATCATTAAATCAAAGTCTACTTTCATGATCTATCAAGTAATGAACAACCAGGTAGGATCATATCGAACGTAGGGTCCGTTTGGTATACGAAGTATACTGTTTGGAAATCCCACTTGAAACACCTCACTAAATCACAGCCTAGACATTATTCCCGTAAGTAGATCAATTAGTATAACGACTTTGAATCACTGATAAATATTATTTCTAGGTTCATAATAACGATATTATATTTAAACATAAGCTATACTTAAAATAGGGCAGCATAACTTACTTAGCTAGGAGTCGGGCTCTGCAGGGGCAGAACTTCGTCGCTGAATCTTTCTAAGAAAGAGTCTTTCAGTGCTTCAGCGCTCACTTTACTATACTAAAAACTACAGAAAGAGAAGTCGAATCACGAGGGACCGAAATGTTCGGGGGATAAGAAGAGAAAGACTCTTGAATCAAGAGAATGGTGCAACAAATATGAGAGGCTAGAGGCTCTTATTTATAGGATTTGAATTTTCAAAAACTACCATCTATAGTTACTTAACGACCTTATAGTTATATAAATGACTAAACACCCCTTTATAATTCTATTTTAAATAGATTTAATGATATTTGTACTAAACTAATGTCGAAAGTACTCAACACTAGTCTTATAACGACCGCATCGTCAATACCTTTCTAACGATATATACATATGTATATATATGTATACGTATATATGATTTACACTTTATTTTAATACGTAAATGTGCTATTAAAAATTATAATTCGTTCATACGAACTCCGTTTTTGACGTTCTTTATATCGACGCGTAGCTATCGACGAGATCTACAACTTTCGTTTAGACTCCGTCGGCTAGTTTTGAATTTCTATTTTTGTCCCTATTTTTATAAAATTAAATGATTTTGCTAAAATAATAACTCTCTCGTACGGACTCCGTTTTTGACATTCTTTTTCTCAAAATTCCTATTTTAAGGAGTACTACGATTTTTAATTTTGGTCGCATTAGCTAAAAGTCAACCGTTCTCTTCGTAGCTTTTTACGTCACACATTTCCTTGTGCGCGACTAACTTTTATATTTTATAAAAATCATATCTAATTATTAAGGATTCGGATTTCGACAAAATTTATATTTTCGGGATCAGGACGACGTATACTTCCTAAATATATAATAATATATATGTTTTGGCGCATTTATTTTTATGATTTACGGACGATTCGATTGATTTTTCCTATTTTATTATATTATAATAATCATGAAACATATAATATTCAAATAATTATTCTTTATTACGTCGAATAGGTTACAATTGTTAACGTAATTATTACTTTGATTAAGACTATTTATCGTAGATAATTTTCTATATAAAAAAAACCATTTTTAACGTTTATTATCTTAATTGACTACCCCGAATCTGCGGGTGTTACAGTTTTAGTTATTAATATAAAAATAACTTTTGTTTATTTTTTATTAATAAAATATTTTTATTTAAGCTGTTACAACTATTATTATATCATTATTTTTTATAAATATTTTAAAAAGATTGTCTTTAAATATATTTTTTCAATAAAATTTTAATTTATGTTTTGAACTTAATATTATATTTATTGTAGCAAATTTAGTATATTAATTATAATTATAATATAATTTCATTTAAAGACAATATTTTAGAATTAATGTTAATTAATAAATTAAGTATGTTATATTAAAAATTTTAAAATTAATATTAGATTCATAATAATTTTCTTTAATATATTAGTTAAATTAAAGATTAAAAAGTTTAAATTTTTTTGAAATAAATAATTAAATTAAATAACATTTATTGTAATAGATACACAAATTTTCAAAAGAATTTCCTATATTTAAAGATGATTTTTCAATTTTTAAATATAGATTCCACCCAATCTCTCTTTTCTCTTTCCCCCTTTCTCTCTCTAATCCCCACCAACAAACCCCTGATCCATCTATCAAAATCACCTCTTCAGTCGACCTGAAACATATACACTCCACTGCCCTTCCTCCTCGAGCAAATCACCGCTCTGATTTATGGCCGCTTATTTAGCCTGTTCCATTCGTTCATCAGTTATTTAGAGATACACCAACACCCAGACCTTCATATATATAAGGAGGTGGGAGAGAGAGAGAGAGAGAGAGAGAGAGAGAGAGAGAGAGAGAGAGAGAGAGAGAGAGAGAGAGAGAGAGAGAGAGAAGAAGAAGAAAAGGTGTCGGTGCGGTTTAATTATCCGTTTCACGTTTTGCAGATTTGATTTTTGTCCTAGATCGATGGATGTGAGAGGAGAATTAAAGGGGCGATGTAGTTGTTCGTCGGCGGCGACCACCACGGGGAAGAGGAAAAACGATCACAGACCTTACAAGGGAATACGGATGAGAAAGTGGGGAAAGTGGGTGGCGGAGATTAGGGAACCAAATAAACGGTCAAGAATTTGGCTCGGATCCTATTCCACACCCGTCGCGGCGGCAAGAGCCTACGACACCGCCGTCTACTACCTCCGTGGGCCCTCCGCCCGGCTCAACTTCCCGGAGTTACTTGCGTCCGATGGCACACCAGATGAGTTGTCGGCGTCTTCTATTCGGAAGAAAGCGACGGAGGTCGGGGCAAGGGTGGATGCAGAAACGAGTGGTACTTCCGTGCAACATGCACTCAAGCCTTGTTGGTTTGAAGAGAAACCCGACTTGAATAAGAAACCCGAACCCGAACCCGAATCCGAATCCGAATACCCAGATGGTGATGATAACTGATAACTGGTGAAATAAAGCAACTTCATCATCCCCAGGTATTGGAAGCAACAAATTTTCGTCAAAAGTTTTCTTGAAAAAAGAAATTACCCAATCCGAATCATTGTAATTGCCATCTTTGTGATTAAATCGCATTTAATCGACAATTATGAACGGATTTTAAGCTTTGAATTTGTGTTTGAAAGTGATTATTCGATCGGAATAACAGTCGAGAAAACGATCGAATATAACGTTTGGTTGTGATTCGTTGATAAGCAAAGAAACTTATTTAAATAATTAAATGTTTATTGATAAGATTTAGGAAAAGGATAGATTAGAATGTTAGATAAGACGAATTTTGTGTACCATGAAAATAATGCAATACTAAAGTTGTCTTGTCTTGTATTTTCAGTTGCTAGTTGTTATGAATTAAGAGGGAGTTTTGTTGTGTAGTTGACATGGATTTTGTCTATAGATAAACAAGGGACACATGTTTCTGTTTTTTTGTATTTATTCGACATGTTTGTTTTTTCACAAAAGAAAAGTCACCACATAATTGGTATGAGAGAAGAATATGAATGATGTTAAGGCATAACTAAACATATAAGTCTTTAAATCCTCCATGAGATTAGGATCACCCGGTATAGCTGATGTGGCAACGCCGGTATAGCTGATGTGGCAGATACAAAATGGCAGGATAAAGTCGGAAATACTGTCCCCGTTCAGTGGCGAATCTAGAAGGTAAAACCACATAGTTCACTGAAACCAATAAAAAAATCAAACATAGGCTTTGAAAATCTTGATTTATGCATATTTGTTTTTGCCGCCAAAAGCATTAAGATGGTTCAATTAGTTCACAATTTATATTTTTATATAATTCTATACAAAAATAAAAAATAGGTGGGTCAAATGACCCACCTTTGATGTATGTAGCCTCGCCATTGCCCCCGTTTCTCGTTTTGGTGCTTCTCATTTGTGTCACCATGGATTGCAACAGGAAAATTGTGACCGTTACATATATTACCATTCGTTTTGGTGCTTCTCGTTTGCGTCACCATGGATTGCAACAGGAAAATTGTTACCGTTACATATATTACCGTTCATAAAAGGCCAATTTCATAAAATAAAATAAAAACCCTTACATTTTTACCTATAAATACAACTCATTATACCCTCATTTTCTTCGCATCTTTTTTCTTTCTCTCTACATTTTATAAAATTCAATACTTTAGCAAAACGGAGCAAAACCAAAAGTCCAAAACACTCATCCACCAAACTCAAACCCATAACCAAACACAACCATTCTTTTTGTATTGTCGGTTACGAAAATTATTTGAACCTATTATCCTCTCAAACTTCACCACTTATCACATACCAAGCATCTTGTTTCAATCCCACCTCACCTCCAATCCAATTTTCTTCCTCACCTACATTCAACGAATTCTTTTTGGCCAAAATTCAAATTTACAACAAAACTTTTTCCCTAATTTCTCTTCGATGACAAACACAAACAACCACCAAACCACCACTATATCGGTTGAAATCGTTACCGAAACGCAATCGGAAAGTAGTAGGGAAGGGAGAGGGAAATGGAAAGAGAAAGGGAAAGCTGCCATGGAAAATAAATAAAAAAATTCCAGAATTGTGGACACCAAAGGAGGAATACGCTTTAGCGTAATCGTGGTGTGGGACTTCAAAAAATGACACTCACGAAAATGGTATGAAGAAATGTGCTTATTGGGAAACGGTGTTCGTCAAATTTCATGGTATCTTGAAGAAAAAACATACCACAATTGTGATATTGTTAGTAGTAAATGGACTCAAATAAATAAGCAGTGCACAAAATTAAATAGGATCTACAACAACCTTCAGTCGCGGAATAGCAGAGTGGTGCCTACGACTTTGATTTGTTCAAATCCGCAAAAAAAAACAATATCGAGTCAAGATGGGTCATGTGTTTGAGTTTGATAAAATATGGGAGATGCTTCGAAGAGATCCAAAATAGACTAAAACTCTTACATCGACAGAGGTTAAATCGAAGAGGTCTCAAAATTCAAGCGTGATTGACGTTTCGGACGCATAGACTCACATCGACCTCAACGCCGACACCGATGAAATTCCGGATGACATCGAGGATATCTCCCCACCACGACAACCGACAGGGCACGACAAAGCGAAGCGCGCTGCAAAACATGCAGATGGCCTTGAGAGGAAAGCAAAGCATATGGCGGAAATCGAAGCGAAGTTCGACGAACACAATTAACTATAAAGAGAAAAAAAATGAGTTGCGACGTAAGAACTTGGATTTCATTCGTAAGCAAGCATAAAAGGAGAGGGAGCAACGCGATCGAGAAGATATGACAAACGAGTTGGCAATTCTTGGGTCTAGTGATGAAGGTTTATCACAAGAAAATATAGAAGTGCAACGAGTGCTAAAGACGAAGATTAGGGCAAAACATTTGGAAAATTAGAAGTATAGTTTTATGTTTTAAATTTATCGTATTTTTTGGTATAGTAATGTTTTTTTTAATTTAAATGTTATGTGTAATTTAAATATTATGTTTTATTAATTTATATTTTTTTATAATTATTAAAAAATCTAGAAAAAAAATAAAAAAACAAATGATGACATAGAAATTAGTGGGTGAAGTAGCATGTGAGATGATTGAAAGTTTTTAGAGCCTCCACATTGCTTCTTTCAAAATGTAATTGCAAACGCCATGTTTCAATTTATTGCAAGATGCATTAGATTTGTCTTTCTATATCTGAAAGCCATTCAAACACAATTAACAACTAGGGAAGAGGCTCGTGCGTTGCACGTATCAGATTTTTTTTTGTTGATGCAATTTGACAGTGGTAAAAAACTTCAATCACCAAACTCTATCACCATCATCTTAATAACGTTTTCAACCTGGTGATTACATTAGAAATCATAACACCCAACAAAAACCCAAATTAAGACAAAAGTTGCCACTTTCATCACCTACATTTTTGCAATCCTGACCATATTTGTTTTTAATTAGAGTCTTTAAGTTATGATATGCTTCCGTACCCATTTTCATGGCTTCCTTCAAAGAAGAAGCTCCAACAGAGAGAATCATGAACTCCTGAACCTACATCACATACATATATGATCCTTCAATAAGCATACATATTTACACAACCTAGATTATGTGTGAATGCTTAAAAGATAGTCAGTACAAATGTCATACCTCCTCTTTCCAAATTCATCAATTGTAATACAAAATATTTCATCAGGGTGGGTGCACAAACCCGAGTATCTGCAAAAGGTGCAGGAAATGTTTTTGACAATTGTATATATGTCGCTATTTCTTGTATTTAGCTCATTGCAAAATCTCATATATTATATAATCATATATGTAAAAAATAAGGAAGCTTGAAACATTTATCAGGTGGGATGTTGTTTTCTTAATCTTTAGATTTTGCAAATTCTACAAAGTCTTTAAGACAGCTCAAGAACAATGTCATTTTCTTGTCATATCGTGTGCTCCAAAACAAATTCACAGGACCAAACCTATGTAACAAAATGACACGGCAACATCGTGAAAATACTATGTGGACAATGACATGGCAGAAAAACCTATAAACTTCAATAACTTGTGCCATGTCATCAATATTCACATCAGGTCAATAGCAATGGGTAAATTTTGATACAAAATAGAAAGTAAATTGCTATTTCCAACATTTAGCCCAAAATACAAACTTACAAATCATAGGTATTATTGTTGTTGTCCATTATTCGAGGGTAACTTCCTATAGGAAGGATTTTTATTCGGTATATGTTCAAAAACATGTTAAGGATATATATCGTATCAAAAAGATTACATATACTTTCTAACATTTTATATAATTAAAAAAAAGATACTGAAACTTTGGTCTGAAATATTGAACCATTGTTTGAAGCAAAAGACATGTCTCCGTGCAACATTTATCTCATCCCATTCAACCTATTTCCACACTATAATTTGCAACTAAATAAATTTAGTTTAATAATAGTCATAGAAATTAGCTAAGAGTATTTAAGTTATAAGTAGTAACAGACCAGAATTTTAGGGAGTCTCCCCAGTCTGAAATTATTGATTGCTCTAAATTCTCCATCATACCAAATTGGAAACACATCACTTAAAACATTATTTCTCTTTAAAAGTTGTAAATGTGCTTGTAAAACTTCAATTTTTGCCAACGTGGCATCTCTCTCTCTCTCTCTCTCTCTCTCTCTCTCTTCCTGTGACATTAAAGATTTTAAACGGTCATGGAAACCAATTTAACATTACAAAAGAAGTGACTATGTATTGAACTCACCGGATGAGATATCAACTAAAACTGAAAATTATTGAACTCATGCCAATATCTGATAACAAAGATTTCAAAAAAACAGTTGGTCAACCCTTCAAATAGGCGAAGTAATTGACTTCTTAGATATCAGAAGTGACTTACCTTTCTTCTAACTCTTTGAATCGATTAGATTTCAGTTCGAGTTCATTCAATTCACTGGTTACTTCAATGCATTGTTTTTCTGTTTATTGAATTGTTTCTTCAAGTTTGCGTTCTTCTTTTTCTATCTTCAATATCATTTAAAACAAAGAATATACAAATATGAAAAACACTGAACATTGAGAAATTTACCCAATTATAACAATGTACTTTCATTACATTTCATATTAAGACATTGAACTTGAAAAATCTACTTTGTTTAATTACTTATATTTTGGGTAGATTTATTAGTGTACAACATTGTAATAGGAAGCAAGTAGGTCAAACGTTAGTGCCTTGATACATTAAGATTGGTTTTTTATGTCCTGTTTGTTTTTTCTATTAAAAATAATTGCAGGAATTTGAGAGCATGTAATGTAATGTTCTTAAAATGTAATGTACTTACTCTTGGTTAAGAGTGAATCTAATGGAGTTTGCGAGTGTATGATCTTCATCGTTTATGGTATGTGTTGAAGCTGATAGATCCTGATATGATCCGTGTTCTATTTTTTTGGACTAAAAATCTGGAATTAAAGGTTTCAACAAAATTTATACAACTCAAATCAAATCACTTTCAAGTTTGTGTTGTATTATTTGATTTACTTTACACTTTAAATAAAATTATGAAACATATAACCCTACAACAATTATAAATTCAACCTAATTAAACATAAAAAAGGGAAAACTAACCACTCACCTTCGTTGTTGCTTTCGAAAGCAATTTCACAACAGAGTCTGCAGTTGTCAAAAATGCTTCATTTTCATCAAGACAAGACTTGTCAAAGAAACCATTTACTGTTTTACCATTTTTCAAATCACATATAATATAGTCTTGATGACACTCTTTTTTAGATTAAAGTGGATTCATTTATTATAGGGAAATCTCCAGAAAAGTCCTAAAATTTTACCTTAATTTACGAAAAAGTCCCAAAGTAAAATTTATTTACGAAAATGCATGAATTACCGGTAAAAATGGCGATTTGACCCATTTTTTCTGGTTTACCGATTTTATTACTTACATGTTTCACTAAAGTCCAATTATTTTACCCTAATTTGCAAATAAGTCCCAAAATAAATTTACTAATGATTTGGTCATTTTCTTCTTGTAACATACATTTTATCGGTTTCATTGCTGACTTAGACACCTAGTCATTAAATTAGCTGATAAAATGAATACGATGGGTTATATAATGTCACATTTACTGTAAAATTTGATATCCATCTCATCGGCTCATTTGTGACTATGTATCTACGTCAACAATGAAACCAATAAAATATGTGTTTCCAAGAAAAAATGGTAGAAAATGAGTTGATGTCTGATGAGATGGATATATTGGGTTACATACGATTAGATAGACAATTTGATGTTTCTTATAAACGTAAAAAATAACGCAGTTGTTATTTTATGTAATTTTTGTAGTCTTCGTTGGATGCATTTTATGTTCCAAAAAGATATACAATACATCAGGATATCAAGTTTTATGCTAAACATAACATTATATAACTCAACATATCCATCTCATCATCTTATTTAATGACTAGGCGTCCGGGTCAGCAATGAAATCGGTAAAATGTATGTTACATAGAGCAAAGGGCCAAATCATCAGTAAATTTTATTTTGGGACTTATTCGCAAATTAGGGTAAAATAATGGGACTTTAGTGAAACAGGTAAGTAATAAAACCGGTAAACCGGAAAAAAGGGTCAAATCGCCATTTTTACCGGTAATTCATGCTTTTTCGTAAACAAAATTCAGTTTGGGACTTTTTCGTAAATTAGGGTAAAATTTTAGGACTTTTCTAGAGATTTCCCTTTATTATATGAAAAAATCTTGTAAGAGAGACACTACTGATGTGTATTAGAATCGAGTAACGAATACAAAATCAATCACAAAAAGCGAAAGAACATGTCGAGTAAATAAGATCTGACTGGCTCATATTACGTCTGTAAAAGAGTATAGGAGTTGAGAGTGTTTTTACAAACTTGAGAGCACCAAAGTTACTCTCAACCCTAATACTTACCCTATTTATAGGGTGTTATAGACATGAAAAAAACTACAAGGACTAAACGTTCTAGTTCGAATTCAACATGTGCCTTGTAAATACATATAGAGTCGAAATCATTCTGATTTCGAACCCTTACAGACTCCAAAGTATTTCGACTTCTCACTATCTACATTTCGACCCCTACAATCTCCCCCTTAGTGAGAGTAGTCGAAATTACGCCATAAGCTTCAACGTCTGTAGAAGTGGATTACGAATCTCCGTATACCAAAGAATTGTCTTTCGAATCTCTGCCATGTCTTCAACTTCATTTCTCTTGCAGTTGTTGATGCGAACAAGGAGATTTGTACATTGAGCATTCGTATACCTCTCTAAATCACTGAATTGAAACAAGAATTTTGTCAATTGACCATTCTTGTTCTTGCCTCGAAATACAACCCTAAGAGGTTGATGAATAATTTTCCCATATTCATATTTGTCAATGTTAAACTTCCCTTTCAGCAGAGATTGAGAAACTTTCAAAGGCTTATTAACATCTGTAGCAAGCTCAATATCTATAATTTCACGGAAATCATTATAGTTGTCGATGAACACCTTGATATGACCAAAACCAATGAGAAAGTCATCATTGTTGACTTATGCCAGCTTCGAAACATCCACATGACTTAAAATCCTTGTCACAGTGACCAAGTCATTTAAGTTCATCAATGGGAAATCAGCAATCAAAAATTCATAGACTACATTATTCGCTCTAACAACCACATAGCGAAAATTTTGTAGAATGCTTTCAAATAAATTTTCTCGAGTAATCGTCATCACCTTTACAATCTTCACTGATGACCATACTTCTGCTTCATTCTTACCCAAGACTGCATGAAATCGTATCTTCAGTCTTTTGAATTCTTCTTTATCTTTGAAGTTTTCAACGATTTTTGAATTGGGAAGAAGTGAACAACATGTGATTCACTGGGAAATCAAGCTGATTAAAATCAGTGTTTTCAACATCATAACTCTTCTTAGGCACCTTGTGAAAATAATCATTCAGCCCAATCGAAACTATATCTTCAATCATTTTGTAACACCACTGCTTGCTGGGATCACCCTTGTTCAAGCCAGGTGGGTCATTTTGTCTTCGCCTCATTATGTTCTTTATTTTCCTTTGCTTTTCGATTTCCAGAGCTTGTTTTCTTTTCTTCTCTTCGTCTGAAAGAACAACTGAGATAGTTTTCCCTTTATCACCTTGATCGTCTTTCGAAGGTGGTGGCACAAAAGTCGAACTTGAACCTCATGTTCCTTCATTTATTATGATCCCTTTCGTGATTGGTCTTTTTGTTGTTGTTGCTGAAGTTGTGCTTAGTGAAATAGGAAGTGAAGTCGATATCTGAGTCGAAATCACTTTTCCAACAACAGCTCCTTTCTTTGAATCCTTCGAAGACCCAACCCATCCACATCCTTTATCTCCCCCCTTGTGACACTTGCTTAGCAGGTGGATCATTCGTTGGTAATCGAAGAACCAACTCAAGGATGGGAGCAAGCTCTGCTTTGATATTTGTTTAAATGGACGAAATCAACTGAGAAATTGATTCTTGAGAAACAGAAGATTGATTCGAAAGATCAGCTTTCGAAATGGATTCCTTGATACTGGTTAAGAATTCTTCCAGCTTTACGAACACCTGTGAATCCTTCTCTGATTTTTCATCAAGCTTGGTCGAATATTCAGTGTTAAATTCAACCAACTTTTTGATACCAGTTGCAACAACATCAACTTTGCTATGCAACACAGTATAATTCTTCTCCATCTTTTCCACCTCTTTTGCCATCTCAGACTTAAGTTCGGCCACCTTAAGATCCACAGACTCTTTCATTTTCGAAACATGTTCCACAAATAGATCACGACGCTCCTTGGCAACATCACGAAGCTTTTGAAGTTAGTACTCAAAGCCTTTAGAATGAACATTCAATCGTTCGACTTGTTGTTGTGTAAGGCTTTGAATCAAACTTTTAAACCGATTCTCTCGAGACTTCAATAAGTACTCCATTTCGACCCCAGAAACGAAACTCCTTCCCCCAGTATCTTCTTGAATTTGTAGAAGAGAATTGATTTTGTTGTTGAGAATTTTGAATTGTTTACCTGACATGATCATGTTATCAGGTACATTTTCCTCTTCTGGGTCGAATTGCAGATCAACAAAAGCAACCATGATCTCATCATCATTTGGTTTGTCTTTTTAAGTTACTCTCTCTGCTTCATTTGATTTAGAAGAGAAGAGGGTAGTAATCAGTCCATGCATAATTGTGGAGTATGTTGGTGAAATGGTTGAAACTAGTAGTAAAGTTGGGATAGCTGATGAAAATGGTGGTAAAGAAGTGACTGTTTCGAATGTTGGAGTTTCGATGATAGATGAGAAAAGGGTTGAAGTGAGAATGGTTGATGTTACAAGAGTCGAAATAACATGGGCTTCTTTTTTCTACATCCCTTCACACATATTGACATTTGTGCCCTTATCAGATAAGTCCACAGGGATGTCTGGAGTTCGAACCTCCTCCGTATAGGACTCAGTTGTCGAAACCCCGGGTGATATGACCTTAGTCTTCTTAGGGATGGATGTTGATGTTTGATCATTCGAGTTAGTGTTTGTATCCGTATTAGATACGTGTACAGTGACACCAAGATCTCTTGTCTCCTCGAAAAATCGACTTGAGAAGAGAATCCCTTCGAGGTGACCCCAGCCCAAAAATCATCATATCGATTATCCCCACTATCACTGTCATGATCAGTTTTGAAAGTGACTTGATCAAGTGGATCTTGATGCTTTCTCTTCTTTTGTTATAATTTATGATCCATATCAAATGTCTGTCGTTTCTTCGAAGCTGGAGAAACAAGAACCGAAACTTCTCGAAACAACACACCTTTTCTGTTGAATTGATGCTTTCTAATCTTCTTGATACCCTTCTGAGATGAATGAGTATGCGAAGAATCAACCTGTGTTTGCTCAGCTAACTCGATTTCGGGTTCTTGAACAGATGGCCTGACTGGAGAATCACAAGGTTTATTGGCTGGCTTCTTGGTACGTTTGAGAAAACTAGTCTTCGAAGGAATAATTTCTTTAGAAACTTCCTCCACAGCAGGTTGTGGTTTCTCAGTATGCGTCTTCTTCATCGCTACTTTAACAACTTTGGATGAACCCTCAGCCCCTTTTGGTGGAAGAACACCAACAGAAACATTAGCATCAATGGATGCCAAGTACTGAACAAGAATTTTATTTTTCGGATCAATACGCCTTAGCATCGCATCTGGAATGCGAGCAAGATTAGGAAAAATAACTGGATCACCAACAACAAGTCGTGGAGCAGCCAATGTCGAAAACTCAGCAGTTTCGACATCTGAAGGAACCAAAATCCCTTCTTATTCATAAACCTCCTTGAGAATCAAACTCTAGTATCAAGCACATGAAACACCATTTGTCAGATTGGTGTGAGTAAGTTTTGAGCCAAATTCCTCCCATAGCTGTGTGGCATAATCAACATTCAAATCATAGTATATGCCAAAAAGCATAGCATAGACTTCTAATTTTTCTTTGTCTAACCCTAAACTGCGACCAGTCAAGCTTCGTAATACAATTCCAAAAAGAAAACTCCATATGCAGGGAAGACTCAACTTTCTAAATAGACTTGTTCCAGTCAGAACTGGTTGATGCCCCATCTCGTTAAACATGTGAAGAAGTTGTTCATTAGTGACTTCATAAAAAGGACCTAAAACAGGCAACTTCAATATTTGGGAAAACTGCCTCTTTGTAAGCTTTCGCATCTTGTTATTCGCCAGTTGAAACGTAACAACTTTTGTGGTTTTGTCAAAAAACTGTTGTGGAACCAGCAAGTGAAATCCAAGGCATAGGAACTGCAAATGAAGATGATAACGTTTTGGATAGAACAAAGTGATTTCGGGCTAGAATCAACATCTGTAATTGATCTGGATATTGATCAACTGTTGGAAGCAAACAAAGATTCGTATTCTGAATCTTCATGAGAGGTTGTGAGGTTTTTTCATCATTAGTGGTGTTTGTGGGATCAACATTGGTTTGAGGAACAACCATTGTTGTGAATGTGAGGATTGTTGAAGACGATGAATAAGTGATGATATTGGGAAATTTGTTCTGAGAGCATAAAGTTTGAAAATAATATCATCAATTTCCTTTTATAATCGATGGAATATTTGAATTTGAACCAATAACCAATATTACACTGCCACATATTTACATTGGTTACTTAACTGGTCACCGTAAAAACCACCACGTCATAAAAGTGATCATCACGTTTTCCTCAAATCCCGTGAATATCCTGAACCGTCATGTCTGCCGAATCTTTCGTTGTTCCCAACCGGATAAGAACTGCCACTTATTTCGAACTGTGAGTAAGGACATCTTGTTGTTTCGACACCAAGAGAACATCATTCCTTTGCATTGAGGTAAGGATCATTCGCTTTTGGGATTTGAAAGCAAAATCATATGCCATACTTTGCGAAATCTTGATTTCGAGTGGGTATTACCCAAAACCTCAAGGATTCCAGTGCAAATGTGTGGCAAAGAATGAGCGAGAATCAATTTTAAAAAATGTGGTATTGTGATATCAAAATAAATTTGATACGAAAGCAGTTGGATCCCGGGAAAATATCGCTTCATTCGATATCAAGAGAGATGACGAATTGCTTGTGTGGTTTCCTGTGAAATACAATTGAATACTCATTGATGAGCATCGAAGGGCTTCTTTTTCATTGGTTTCGAAAGGTAGGCTCAATTTTTCTCAATACCACAACTTAAACATAAGTGTGAGTTAAATTGAACATAATTACTTGGATGACCAGTGTAGTCAAGAATAAGTATGGTTGGATATGATTTGTAGTAACAAGAAATCAGAAAGATATTCAGATGAAACTCACATTCCAGGAAAAAAAATTAGTACTGGATCTTGTTGGGTAAAAATGTCTTGGGTTAAGAACATTTTATCAAGATCACACAATGCGAATAGAATATGATTTTGAATATCAAATGGTACTGAAACAAGTGTTTCTTTATAATCCTGAACAAAAATTTTCACTGTCAATTCCTTGATTAGTCGAGATTTTTGGGTTTCACCATCATCACGGAAGAATGACTCAGGATCATAAACACATAGTGTTTCAATATCTACATTTTGGTAGGTATCGACCAGAGATGTCGAGGATATGCAGTAAAGTGTGTGATTATGAAAGAAATTTTGATGAAAAATATTGTGTGTAAGAACTCATTGTACTTCCGTGAAATATATGGACATTACTGAAATCTCTTTACTCAATATGAGAAGAGAAAGGAAGCTCTTTGACTAATGTGAATATAGCCTAATTGGGAAGGAACGTTCATAGTGAGAGTTCCATTAAGGCTTCAAACACATAAAGTCTATGAGGCTTGATGTCAACATACAACATCATGCTTCTAGGGGAGCTTAACTAGTACATCAGTTCGAATGAATACCTGTCCCTTAGATAGATACGATCGTAGAGCATGCACCTCAGCAGTACGTTGTTACAATGAGACATGACTGGTTAAACAAAATATGAAATAAAAACAAGAAAATCTTTTTGAGTTTTTGTTTTGTGAAATCAAAATACAAAAATAAGAAAATATTTTTGGATTTTTGATATTTAAAACAGAACAAACAAAAACCAGACTTCTAAAATGTTACGAAGTGACGTTCGACCTATTAAGTAGCAACCCCCAACGATGTTGCTCATCGAACAACTTTCTCCCCAAAAAAGCGAAATCATGGTAGAACGGTTCAGAGGAAATTTGAATGTGAACGCTGAACTGAAACAATAACCTAGGAATGATTTAGAAAAACACCTATCAAATAGATACCTTTTCGATCAAGAAGAACCTGGAACAGAACTTGCTTCGATCATCCCCAATCCATTCAAAATCCTTAAGAATGACTTCTCTTTTAAATGTTTTGTAAAAATATCTGCAAGTTGATCCGTTATTTTCACAAAATGGACCTCTATGTTCCTGTCATGTACATGGTATTTGATGAAGTGATAGCGAAGAGCAATGTGTTTGGTTTTCGAATGTTGGACTGCATTACGGCAGATGCAAATGACACTTTGCGAGTCACAATACAAATGAATGTTCTTCATATTGAGTGCATAATCGCGCAGTTGACTTTGTATCCAAATAACTTCAGATGTGCAAGCAGCAGCAGCCACATACTCGGCTTCTGCAGTCGAAATCGAAACACACGTTTGTTTCTTCGATTTCCATCTCACTAGCTTTCCATCCAACAATTGACATCCACCTGTCGTGCTCTTTCGATCAAGTTGATATCCACCTAGACCTGCATCTGAGAATGCTTGTATAAAGATTTTTTTCTTCGATGGATACCATAGGCCCAACAAAACTGTTCCTTTGAGATGGTGAAAAATATTCTTAACAGCATTGAGATGGGGTTATCTTGGGTTCGATTGGTACCTAGCATAATTGCATACAACAAACATAATATCAGGTCGACTTGCAGTTAAATACAAGAGCGAACGTATCATGCTTCTATATGTTGTTAAGTCCACATCAGGCTTATCCAACGAAGGATTTAAGATAGTGCCAACCGCCATAGGTACTTTCACTTTAGTGTTATTTCTCATCCCAAATCTTTCAAGAAGGTTTCACGTATATTTCTCCTGATTAATAAAGATGCCTTCCCTGCTTTGACGAATATGTAAACCCAGAAAATTATTAAATTTCCCCATCATACTAATTTCGAACTGGCTTTTCATAAGCTCCTCAAATTCCTTAGATAATAAAGGGTCAGTCGAACCAAAAATTATATCATCGACATAAATTTGAACAAACATCAGGTGACTCCGAACATTCTTTCGAAATAAAGTGGGATCAACTGATCCTTGTTTAAATTTAGAAATTTTCAAAAAATTGGTCAAGTTTACGTACCATGCACGAGGTGCTTGTTTCAACCCATAGACTGCCTTATCTAGAATATAACAGTGATCAGGATACTTATCATTGACAAAACCAGGTGGTTGTTCGACATATACCATTTCCTCTAAAACTTTGTTGATGAATGCACACTTGACGTCCATTTGATACACATTGTTAGGGCTAGGATCCTGAAATTACTATAGGATCCTCAAGTCTAAGGATCCTCAAAAGCTCAGGATCCTCAAACCTCAGGATCCCGAATATACTCCAGGATCCTGACTAATATTTTTATTATTATTGCGGACATATATTCTTTTGTCTTTCTCATCATGCTACACATGGGACTTAGCATAATACTATCACTTGTACTCATACTCATTCCATTTTCTCTGTAACTTTTGTTTTAATCAATAAAAAACATCATGGCAGGTGATTATTATCACCTCCTAAGGTTTTATGTCGGAGATCCTAACAAGGATCAAGGGCTATCCTTGTAAACGAATTGTGTTGCTTTGATTCATTTTACTTATTTCCTTTACATTGAACATCACGACCTCTTATACAGTTTAGTCTATTTCAGTTTAATTATTTTTTGACCAAAACAATTTGGCGCCCACCGTGGGGCCGTGGTGTTCAAAATCCCTCAGAAAATCATGTCTACTCAATCGACTCTCTCCTCCTCCTCGATTCCTCCCATTTACTCTAAAAACCTTCCACCACTACCAGATGGAGCTCCCAAGAAAGTATCTGAAACTCCAAAGAAAAACACCTCTCCGATTACTCCGGGACTCCACGATCCTCCTGTGCTGATTTCCATCAGCGAGATCTTTGCTATAAGGAAGAGACTGGAGCTAAAGGTCACCCAACAGCATGAAGATAACAGGACGATCCTCAAGGAAGTGGAGAGAATGAGGACGGAATTCCACAAATCTCAGGAGGCAGCGTCCTCGGTCTTGCAGCCTAAGATCCTGAACTTCGACAATCTAGGATCCTTAACGATCTGTCACAAGATTCAGGATCCTAATGAAACCTTTGTTACTCCCAAGAACAGGGATCCTGGTAACTCTATCAATAATAATAATTTTACAACTAACTCAATGAATCTTGACACAGGTTTGAGTCGGGTCATGACCAAGGAGTTACAACAGCTAAGATAGATGATCTCAAGTGTTCCCGGAGTAGTCCAGCCCGTGCCAGAAGC